TTGAACCAGGTGCTGGTGGTTTTGGCACTGTGTGCAGGTGCCAAGTCCTGTTGAAAGGTGGTCTGCATCCCCATAAAGTTGGTCAGCAGCAGGAAGCATGAAGTGCTCTAAAACTTCCTGGTAGACGGCTGCATTGACCCTGGACCTCAGGAAACAGAGTGGGCCAACACCGGCAGATGACATGGCACCCCACACCATCACTGACGGTGGAAACTTTACACTGGACCTCATGCAACGTGGATTCTGTGCTTCTCCGCTCTTCCTCCAGACTCTGGGTCCTTGATTTCCAAAGGAAATGCAGAACTTGCTTTCATCAGAAAACATAACTTTGGACCACTCAGCATCAGTCCAGTCCTTTTTGTCCTTGGCCCAGGCGAGACGCTTCTTGCGCTGTTTCTTGTTCAAGAGTGGCTTGACACACGGAATGCGACACCTGAATCCCATGTCTTTCATGAGTCTCCTCGTGGTGGTTCTTGAAGCGCTGACTCCAGCTGCAGTCCACTCTTTGTGGATCTCCCCCACATTTTTGAATGGGTTTGTCGTCACAATTCTCTGCAGGGTGCGGTTATCCCTAGAGCTTGTACACTTTTTTCTACCACATTTTTTCCGTCCCTTCGCCTGTCTGTTAATGTGCTTGGACACAGAGCTCTGCGAACAGCCAGCTTCTTTAGCAATCACCTTTTGTGTCTTGCCCTCCTTGTGCAAGGTGTCAATGATTGTCTTTTGGACAGCTGTTAAGTCAGAAGTCTTCCCCATGATTGTGGTGCCTTCAAAACAAGACTGAGGGACCTTTTAAAGGCCTTTGCAGGTGTTTTGAGTAAATCAGCTGATTAGAGTGGCAGCAGGTGTCTTCTATATTCAGCCTTTTCAGAATATTCTAATTTTTTGAGATACCAAATTTGGAGTTTTCATTAGTTGTCACTTATGAATATGAAATTTAAATGTAATGAACATTGGAAATACATTGGTCTGTGTGCATTGCATGAATATAATGTACAAGTTTCACGTTTTGAATGGAATTACTGAAATATTTTCAACCTTTTGATGATATTCTAATTTACTGGCCAGCACCTGTAAATGTTATTTACCTGCTAAAAGAAGATGAAGGAATTCTTTAGTCAGAATGCTCTTAAAGGAAAATGAAGCAGGAGACTGCAGAGGATCATACGATGACTCTGCTATGAGGCACAGATCAGGTGATCACACATCAGGTTAAATTTGCTGCAGAAGGATGTGGTCACAGCATTAGCAACTTCACCACACAGCAGAACTCCTTCAAACTTGCGTTAATTGTGGAGATCCGTGAGTGCAGCGGAGATAGAGTCACGTTGCTGTTAGCCAATCCGAGGCGAGATGTCCAAACATCAACAAACAAAACTCCAAAACCTGGCGTCTGAAGCTCAGCTGTGATGTGGCTAGGGTTGTCACGGTGTGAAAATTTAACCTCACGGTTATTGTGACCAAAATTACCACGGTTTTCGGTATTATCGCGGTATTTTTTTTAAACGTGCTACATTTTCACACAATTAAATAAACCCTGTATGTCAGGAAATATTGTCCTCAGTTTGTGTTTAAATTTTGCCTAAAATGTGTTATTTTGTAATTATGTTGTTTATTTGTTTACATTTTTTCCCCTTTAGTTGTTGAAATACCAATTTTTGCCCATAACTTCTTATTTTATGTCTGTTTGATGTCATCATTTTAAAAATATTAGATCAGATGATACTCAGTACTCAAGTAGCCTTCTAATCAGATACTTTTTTACCCTTACTTGAGTAATAAACCCTATATCAGGAAAATATTGTCCTCGGTTTGTGTCCTTCCAGTGAGCTTTGCAGATGTGGGAAATGTCATCAGGCAGTAATCATTGTTAAATTCATAATTATTCTCGGAGAGAGAACTCTCATCTGCCCCTGGGAGTCCCGTAATGCATAGCGTCATTTCAACATGGGGGTGCCCGTGACACGGTTTATATGCAGGTGGCGGCGCTGCGGCTGCTTTATGTAGCGACTCGTTGCATTCTCCCTCAACCCAAATCCTCTGATCACGCATTTTAGCTAAAACGCTAACGTTAGCTAGCCTTGCGTTGACTGTAGCGTTGTGGGTGATGGTCACGCAGATGTGTCATGAGATTTGAAGCGTTGCTGCCTTTCACAGACACTTTTTCTGCACGTGCTGCAAACAGG